ATCAGACTCTTTACGTCATTTCTCAGTTTAGATTCAAGTTCTTTTAGGAAGCCAATTTCATCTTGCAGTTCAGCAATGTGTGACATCGTTACATCAGTTTGTGCAGCAGCACTTAAAGAATGTTGCATATCTTCGTACTCAGCGTCAAGCATAGCTCTAAGTCTGCAACCTTCTTTTTTGACTCAATATTTTGAGCTTCAAGAGATGGTTTAGGGCTCTCTGATCTTCCTAGGTTCTTCAGTTGAGTACGCAGCATCTCTATTTCTGACTCGTATGTTTTTAGTCTTTTTATTATTTTTTTCCAGAAAATCGAGTCTGTATTGCAAGTCGATGAAATTCTTGCGCTTTTTGAGAATTTTTTGAACTCTTTCTATTTCTTCGTTGTACGCATCCGTTACTTGGCGGAGTTCCTGACTGTAACGATCGAATTTAGAATTGGCTTCTGTGAGCTGTTTCTTCAGGTCCAAAATCTCCAGCTGATTATCTAGTTTAGTGAATTCTCTAAGCTCATTGAAAGATTCTTCCAGTTCTTTGAGTTGTCTTTTAAGTACACTTGCACGTCTTCAGCTATCACAGATTCTGCTTCGGCTAGTGCCTCCTCATATGTCTCTTCTTGAATAGGCCTCATTTCACGTCCGGATGATTCTTCTTTGGGTGGATAATTTTTCAATGGCATATACCCTAGGGATGCTTTTTAGGTGATACGTTGCCATAGTGTCCAAAAGTATGACTCTTAATGTTTTTTTCGGTGTTGATGCGAGGCTCCCATTTGAAAGCGCCCGACAATAGATACTTCCGTTTTTAGTCTTTCTATCTCGAGCAGATACTCTTGTTTGCTTTTATCCATCTCTTTAGCTTAATTGCCTGCTTTTTGAGCCGAGTTCGAGATCGCGAGTCAAGTTCTGATATCCTTGAAGTGTCTCTTCTGTAGCTGACAAGATGTTTACTTTCGTTTTATTTTTGACAGTTTTAGTGCTTTGGGCGAATTCTGGTGTAGATCTAGTCTCCTCCTCTGCAGCTAAAGTAACATTCCCGATAATCAATGATTTGGCATTACCGCCAAGAGCCTGTGAGAGCAGTCTAGTCAATTTCGAATCGCGATAACTGATAAACTCCTTCCCCTCGCTTAGTTGCCTTATCACATTTCCTAATACTGACAAAGATTTGTTTATGTTAGCCCCCTCTTTAAGACGCTCACCAGCAGCTTTCGTCAGAGAAACTCTCTCAGAACCAGCTAAGTCCATTAAGTTAAGGTAGCTTATATGTACAGGTCCATCTTTCTGATTGGCATCTTTCGACTCCAGAAGTAATCCGGAAAATCGTGTGTGATCGAGATGACCTCTCATTCATGCGAGTAGCTGCAACTCGTCTGATCTTATTGCCCTGCATCATGTTCTCCATAACTTTATCAACATTGTCTACGACAGCTTCCCTTGCATCAAGCAGCACATTTCCTTTGATATCTTCTCTTATAGTTAAACCCTGATTGCTCTTATCCAGGAGGTCATTGATCTTTTCATTGTAGATTTCAATATAACTGCATCTAATCAAGTACCTCTTATCAACCTGGTCTGCCACATGCTGGAATAACTGATTGGATACTAATTGGAAAAGCCCAGGATCTGTTTATTGCCCAAAATGGTTGTGTGTTTTGCCAGAAGATGTTTGGCCATATGCAATATTGTGGCATTGAAACCTTCCATGAAGGAATCGACTAAAGGTTTACTACAGATCCATATACATCTGAATTTGTACATTCCTGCTTAAATACATGGTCGAATATATAAACCTCTCCATGGCGACTACTTTCATCGGCTTCCCATATGCAGTTTTACTCTTACGTTCCAAAGACGCTCTAGACCATCGGCTACTTCGCGGTGGATCATTGGTCTGATCTTTGTGGCTACTTTAATATTGTCGGAAGTCATTTTGGAAGCTTGAACTGAAATTTAATTAGAACTAGGGCTATTTCACGGGTTATAAAGAGGGGCACTTTTCATAATCCAGATTTCGTTTTGGCATTCCAGTTCAGCCATTTGATCCTGAAGCTCTTTTATAGTAGAATCATTATGGCATCGTATATCTGAGATTTTAAATGAGTGGTTGACCTCACGTTGGTTACTCTCGTCATCAGACTCTTTACGTCATTTCTCAGTTTAGATTCAAGTTCTTTTAGGAAGCCAATTTCATCTTGCAGTTCAGCAATGTGTGACATCGTTACATCAGTTTTGTGTAGCAGCACTTAAAGAATCTTGCATATCTTCGTACTCAGCGTCAAGCATAGCTTCTAAGTCTGCAACCTTCTTTTTTGACTCAATATTTGAGCTTCAAGAGATGGTTTAGGGCTCTCTGATCTTCCTAGGTTCTTCAGTTGAGTACGCAGCATCTCTATTTCTGACTCGTATGTTTTAGTCTTTTTATTATTTTTTCCAGAAAATCGAGTCTGTATTGCAAGTCGATGAAATTCTTGCGCTTTTGAGAATTTTTTTGAACTCTTTCTATTTCTTCGTTGTACGCATCCGTTACTTGGCGGAGTTCCTGACTGTAACGATCGATTTAGAATTGGCTTCTGTGAGCTGTTTCTTCAGGTCCAAAATCTCCAGCTGATTATCTAGTTTAGTGAATTCTCTAAGCTCATTGAAAGATTCTTTCAGTTCTTTGCGTTGTCTTTTAAGTACACTTGCACGTCTTCTTTGTATGGTCTTGTTTGCTGATCAACATTATATGATTTCTAGACATGTTCAATCTGTGCAGCTTCTTCACTTTCATATTAATGTCATAAGAGCATTCATCCATTTTTGAATAAATGTGGTTCATCACAAATTGTAGAAATACTCTGAGCATTGACTATAAAATGGAATGGACTTGATCCGTGAGTATTCTCCGAGCAAATCGTCTCAAGTGCGTTTTTGATCGTTGCGCCCTGATTAGAAATAGTGCCAACAACGCACAAACCAAGTCGCTGCTAGTTTGTGATCACATGAACAATAATCGTTTTCAGATCTGGGATTCTTGTATCTTTTACTAGATAATAAGCCACAACCTGCTTATAATTTTAAGTAAGGGCATGATTTCTGATAAATCACTTTTTCAGAGTTCTAGTTGATTTTGTTACCTCAGAATTCAAGATTTATTAGCTGAAAATTGTACACTGTGAGCACTGGGATCAGCCCTAAACTTTGTCCAAACCCTGCAATAATCGTAAACACTAAAACAAGGGTAGACTATTTCTAGTTTAACTGCCTGAAGATTTTCTCTATGGTTTATACGTAACTCTCCACCTATTATCTCATTTTTGTACATGTTCTGGGAGAACTCAACTTGCTCCCTATAAAATGCAACGTCTTCCTGCACAGGTGGTTCTGGTTAAGTGCCAGCCTGCTTCGGGTTTGTAATTAGTTGTTGCAATTTTCTGATTTCGTCGTCCTTTTTCATAATCCAGATTTCGTTTGGCATTCCAGTTCAGCCATTTGATCCTGAAGCTCTTTTATAGTACAATCATTATGGCATCCTTTATCTGAGATTTTAAATGAGTGGTTGACCTCACGTTGGTTACTCTCGTCCATCAGACTCTTTACGTCATTTCTCAGTTTAGATTCAAGTTCTTTTAGGAAGCCAATTTCATCTTGCAGTTCAGCAATGTGTGACATCGTTACATCAGTTTGTGCAGCAGCACTTAAAGAATGTTGCATATCTTCGTACTCAGCGTCAAGCATAGCTTCTAAGTCTGCAACCTTCTTTTTTGACTCAATATTTTGAGCTTCAAGAGATGGTTTAGGCTCTCTGATCTTCCTAGGTTCTTCAGTTGAGTACGCAGCATCTCTATTTCTGACTCGTATGTTTTTAGTCTTTTATTATTTTTTTCCAGAAAATCGAGTCTGTATTGCAAGTCGATGAAATTCTTGCGCTTTTTGAGAATTTTTTGAACTCTTTCTATTTCTTCGTTGTACGCATCCGTTACTTGGCGGAGTCCTGACTGTAACGATCGATTTTAGAATTGGCTTCTGTGAGCTGTTTCTTCAGGTCCAAATCTCCAGCTGATTATCTAGTTTAGTGAATTCTCTAAGCTCATTGAAAGATTCTTCCAGTTCTTTGCGTTGTCTTTTAAGTACACTTGCACGTCTTCAGCTATCACAGATTCTGCTTCGGCTAGTGCCTCCTCATATGTCTCTTCTTGAATAGGCCTCATTTCACGTCCGGATGATTCTTCTTTGGTGGATATTTTTCAATGGCATATACCCTAGGGATGCTTTTTTAGGTGATACGTTGCCATAGTGTCCAAAAGTATGACGTCTTAAATGTTTTTTTCGGTGTTGATGCCGAGGCTCCCATTTGAAAGCGCCCGACAATAGATACTTCCGTTTTTTAGTCTTTCTATCTCGAGCAGATACTCTTGTTTGCTTTTATCCATCTCTTTTAGCTTAATTGCCTGCTTTTTGAGCCGAGTTTCGAGATCGCGAGTCAAGTTCTGATATCCTTGAAGTGTCTCTTCTGTAGCTGACAAGATGTTTACTTTCGTTTTATTTTTGACAGTTTTAGTGCTTGGGCGAATCTGGTGTAGATCTAGTCTCCTCCTCTGCAGCTAAAGTACATTCCCGATAATCAATGATTTGGCATTACCGCCAAGAGCCTGTGAGAGCAGTCTAGTCAATTTCGAATCGCGATAACTGATAAACTCCTTCCCCTCGCTTAGTTGCCTTATCACATTTCCTAATACTGACAAAGATTTGTTTATGTTAGCCCCCTCTTTAAGACGCTCACCAGCAGCTTTCGTCAGAGAAACTCTCTCAGAACCAGCTAAGTCCATTAAGTTAAGGTAGCTTATATGTACAGGTCCATCTTTCTGATTGGCATCTTTCGACTCCAGAATAATCCGGAAAATCGTGTGTGATCGAGATGACCTCTCATTCATGCGAGTAGCTGCAACTCGTCTGATCTTATTGCCCTGCATCATGTTCTCCATAACTTTATCAACATTGTCTACGACAGCTTCCCTTGCATCAAGCAGCACATTTCCTTTGATATCTTCTCATAGTTAAACCCTGATTGCTCTTATCCAGGAGGTCATTGATCTTTTCATTGTAGATTTCAATATAACTGCATCTAATCAAGTACCTCTTATCAACCTGGTCTGCCACATGCTGGAATAACTGATTGGATACTAATTGGAAAAGCCCAGGATCTGTTTTATTGCCCAAAATGGTGTGTGTTTTTTGCCAGAAGATGTTTGGCCATATGCAAATATTGTGGCATTGAAACCTTCCATGAAGGAATCGACTAAAGGTTTTACTACAGATCCATATACATCTGAATTTGACATTCTGATTAAATACATGGTCGAATATATAAACCTCTCCATGGCGACTACTTTCATCGGCTTCCCATATGCAGTTTACTCTTACGTTCCAAAGACGCTCTAGACCATCGGCTACTTCGCGGTGGATCATTGGTCTGATCTTTGTGGCTACTTTAATATTGTTGGAAGTCATTTGGAAGCTTGAACTGAAATTTAATTAGAACTAGGGCTATTTCACGGGTTATAAAGAGGGGCAGATGTATCAGGTTGATACATTCTTTTTTTCCTCCTTTCCAGTATAGAAGATTTTTTTCTCTTGTAGGCTATGAATGCGGTCCGATAGTTTAGTAGAGCTACATTTACAGGGTGACTCAAAATCAAAGAAGAAACAGAATTGTTAAATTTCATATAGACTGTTATTGTTATTACAAAAAGAAGTTGAAGCAGCAGCAAATTCTCACAAATCTATAGATCCATCACTTTCAGCACCCGATTTTTCAACTTGAAAAATGCAGCTCGGTGAAGAATCACAAGGTAACTGTTGTCTATTCAGACAATACTCTTCTAAAAGCAACGCGAAGTTACCTAGTGCCTTACATGAATCGCCTTCATAATTCTTCATTATTGTCAATGGAAAACTGAAATTGTTGATTATTACAGTTTTTAATGCTTCAAATAAACAGATGGTGTTCGTGTTGGAAATCCCACGTCTAATCTCGCAAAACAGGTTATCCACCGGATCTTACTATCAACATCTGAAATGCCATTACTGTTTTTAGCCATGTGTACAACAGGTTTGTACGCATAAGACACTCTTACATGAAAACTGTTTATTGTCTAAAAACGAAAATACCCCATTGAAGATGAGTAATGCAATAAATATAATCCTCGAAACTTGAACTGTAATATGAACATAAAAAAACTAACAAAATGGGCCATTTAACAACATATTTGGTGTTGATATTCTACAACAAAAACAAATACTTTCTCGTATAAGGAAACATACAATAATTAACATTTATCACTTTTCACGAAACAATGTAAGTGCGCTGTGACTTTACATACTTATTACAGATTGTAGAACATTTTTTTCATTGTGTATTGTCATGTAACACCTACGTCGTTTTTTTTCTTTAACAACTGCATCACGATCGAGAACTCTGGGCTGAGAAGTAGACGGCTTACTTTATTCGTCGTTGGTAATTTAGGATTCTTTGCATGGCTGAACGAAGCTCCCTAGGAAGTCTTGGATCTGATAAACGTCCTCTCATACGAAGTTAAATTAGAGTTTGCCTCAGGGGAACAATAAAATTTCGTCGCCTAATGGAACTTTCAGTCCCAGACTGAAAAAAAAAGGAATTTACAGAAGCTGGTTGGATACCAAATAGCACAAGGCCATCTTCTCGTTCTCTAACCAGTATTGTAATTTACACACTTCCGATCTAATGCATTACCCCCCGCCTTCATAGTGTTATAAAAATAATATAGGATCTTATCAGGTTTCTTTGATTCCTCTACTATTTTGTTATCATGCTGCATAGATTGCTATACGAGAACATGTGTATTTGGTTTGGAAGATACTACTCTAAGGCTGTACAACATAAACTTAGAAGTACCTGGCTGTGTTTCCTTCTTATTTGGAACTACATGTTGGGGTACTTGTTACTTATTTTTACGCTTCCTGCCGACATAGGTCAGTTGGTTGATGCGCAATTCTACATGTAATTCTACTGACGTGAACCAGTCATCTGCTGTGATATTTCTGTTCGTATAGACGAAAGCATTGAGCAGGTAGTGGTGAGTCTTTGCATCATCAGTCCATACTTATTCGGTTTAGTTTTCTTGTAGGCACAGGAAGGACATCGGCCCACGAGCATCTCGTATTTTGTAGGGGACTCACCCGAAATATAACAATTTCGACAGTTCTCTATGAGTGTCTCGAAAATTTCACGTATTTGGAGAAATTTATCGGCATTTCTCGAGTCACAGGGTTATTATTTTCCAAATTGGTTGCCACGGACTTTAGTTCAGGTAAATGCGTAATAATCGACCAGTTGCAGGCGCTCGTTTGACCAATTGTACATGTTTTTTCCATAGGCATAGCGAGGTCGCCCATAGGAAGTTGTTCAGGTTGATCGATAGCAGCGTCGTCCTCGGCGTAGTCTATAGTGTATTGTTCATCCGTCAACAACGAAAAAATCCATTGTGAAGGAAGTTCAAATCGTACACGCAACTGACATCCTCGGATCAAATTTGACCGCAAAGTCAACAAACCAACAATTTGTGATGTTTAAATTAAACTGTGGTTTGAGGTATACGTGCTCATACCGTATGAGAAGTCACGGGACCCCCACACATAACTGAGAAAGCTCGAATCATCCGACGATATCATTAAAGGATTAATTTCTATATTCTTGAACGAATCTATAAAATCAAAGTGGCTGGGTTTCAATTTACATAGCTCTTTGTATGGTCTTGTTTGCTGATCAACATTATATGATTTCTAGACATGTTCAATCTGTGCAGCTTCTTCACTTTCATATTAATGTCAATAAGAGCATTTCATCCATTTTTGAATAAATGTGGTTCATCACAAATTGTAGAAATACTCTGAGCATTGACTATAAAATGGAATGGACTTGATCCGTGAGTATTCTCCGAGCAAATCGTCTCAAGTGCGTTTTTGATCGTTGCGCCCTGATTATAAATAGTGCCAACAACGCACAAACCAAGTCGCTGCTAGTTTGTGATCACATGAACAATAATCGTTTTCAGATCTGGGATTCTTGTATCTTTTACTAGATAATAAGCCACAACCTGCTTATAATTTTTACGAATCCCTCTTATCATGGAAGTAAGGGCATGATTTCTGATAAATCACTTTTTCAGAGTTCTAGTTGATTTTGTTACCTCAGAATTCAAGATTTATTAGCTGAAAATTGTACACTGTGAGCACTGGGATCAGCCCTAAACTTTGTCCAAACCCTGCAATAATCGTAAACACTAAACAAGGGTAGACATATTTCTAGTTTAACTGCCTGAAGATTTTCTCTATGGTTTATACGTAACTCTCCACCTATTATCTCATTTTTGTACATGTTCTGGGAGAACTCAACTTGCTCCCTATAAAATGCAACGTCTTCCTGCACAGGTGGTTCTGGTTAAGTGCCAGCCTGCTTCGGGTTTGTAATTAGTTGTTGCAATTTTCTGATTTCGTCGTCCTTTTTCATAATCCAGATTTCGTTTTGGCATTCCAGTTCAGCCATTTGATCCTGAAGCTCTTTTATAGTAGAATCATTATGGCATCGTATATCTGAGATTTTAAATGAGTGGTTGACCTCACGTTGGTTACTCTCGTCCATCAGACTCTTTACGTCATTTCTCAGTTTAGATTCAAGTTCTTTTAGGAAGCCAATTTCATCTTGCAGTTCAGCAATGTGTGACATCGTTACATCAGTTTGTGCAGCAGCACTTAAAGAATGTTGCATATCTTCGTACTCAGCGTCAAGCATAGCTTCTAAGTCTGCAACCTTCTTTTTTGACTCAATATTTTGAGCTTCAAGAGATGGTTTAGGGCTCTCTGATCTTCCTAGGTTCTTCAGTTGAGTACGCAGCATCTCTATTTCTGACTCGTATGTTTTAGTCTTTTTATTATTTTTTTCCAGAAAATCGAGTCTGTATTGCAAGTCGATGAAATTCTTGCGCTTTTTGAGAATTTTTTTGAACTCTTTCTATTTCTTCGTTGTACGCATCCGTTACTTGGCGGAGTTCCTGACTGTAACGATCGAATTTAGAATTGGCTTCTGTGAGCTGTTTCTTCAGGTCCAAAATCTCCAGCTGATTATCTAGTTTAGTGAATTCTCTAAGCTCATTGAAAGATTCTTCCAGTTCTTTGAGTTGTCTTTTAAGTACACTTGCACGTCTTCAGCTATCACAGATTCTGCTTCGGCTAGTGCCTCCTCATATGTCTCTTCTTGAATAGGCCTCATTTCACGTCCGGATGATTCTTCTTTGGGTGGATAATTTTTCAATGGCATATACCCTAGGGATGCTTTTTTAGGTGATACGTTGCCATAGTGTCCAAAAGTATGACGTCTTAATGTTTTTTTCGGTGTTGATGCCGAGGCTCCCATTTGAAAGCGCCCGACAATAGATACTTCCGTTTTTAGTCTTTCTATCTCGAGCAGATACTCTTGTTTGCTTTTATCCATCTCTTTTAGCTTAATTGCCTGCTTTTTGAGCCGAGTTTCGAGATCGCGAGTCAAGTTCTGATATCCTTGAAGTGTCTCTTCTGTAGCTGACAAGATGTTTACTTTCGTTTTATTTTTGACAGTTTTAGTGCTTTGGGCGAATTCTGGTGTAGATCTAGTCTCCTCCTCTGCAGCTAAAGTAACATTCCCGATAATCAATGATTTGGCATTACCGCCAAGAGCCTGTGAGAGCAGTCTAGTCAATTTCGAATCGCGATAACTGATAAACTCCTTCCCCTCGCTTAGTTGCCTTATCACATTTCCTAATACTGACAAAGATTTGTTTATGTTAGCCCCCTCTTTAAGACGCTCACCAGCAGCTTTCGTCAGAGAAACTCTCTCAGAACCAGCTAAGTCCATTAAGTTAAGGTAGCTTATATGTACAGGTCCATCTTTCTGATTGGCATCTTTCGACTCCAGAATAATCCGGAAAATCGTGTGTGATCGAGATGACCTCTCATTCATGCGAGTAGCTGCAACTCGTCTGATCTTATTGCCCTGCATCATGTTCTCCATAACTTTATCAACATTGTCTACGACAGCTTCCCTTGCATCAAGCAGCACATTTCCTTTGATATCTTCTCTTATAGTTAAACCCTGATTGCTCTTATCCAGGAGGTCATTGATCTTTTCATTGTAGATTTCAATATAACTGCATCTAATCAAGTACCTCTTATCAACCTGGTCTGCCACATGCTGGAATAACTGATTGGATACTAATTGGAAAAGCCCAGGATCTGTTTTATTGCCCAAAATGGTGTGTGTTTTGCCAGAAGATGTTTGGCCATATGCAAATATTGTGGCATTGAAACCTTCCATGAAGGAATCGACTAAAGGTTTTACTACAGATCCATATACATCTGAATTTGTACATTCCTGCTTAAATACATGGTCGAATATATAAACCTCTCCATGGCGACTACTTTCATCGGCTTCCCATATGCAGTTTACTCTTACGTTCCAAAGACGCTCTAGACCATCGGCTACTTCGCGGTGGATCATTGGTCTGATCTTTGTGGCTACTTTAATATTGTCGGAAGTCATTTTGGAAGCTTGAACTGAAATTTAATTAGAACTAGGGCTATTTCACGGGTTATAAAGAGGGGCACTTTTCATAATCCAGATTTCGTTTTGGCATTCCAGTTCAGCCATTTGATCCTGAAGCTCTTTTATAGTAGAATCATTATGGCATCGTATATCTGAGATTTTAAATGAGTGGTTGACCTCACGTTGGTTACTCTCGTCCATCAGACTCTTTACGTCATTTCTCAGTTTAGATTCAAGTTCTTTTAGGAAGCCAATTTCATCTTGCAGTTCAGCAATGTGTGACATCGTTACATCAGTTTGTGTAGCAGCACTTAAAGAATCTTGCATATCTTCGTACTCAGCGTCAAGCATAGCTTCTAAGTCTGCAACCTTCTTTTTTGACTCAATATTTTGAGCTTCAAGAGATGGTCTAGGGCTCTCTGATCTTCCTAGGTTCTTCAGTTGAGTACGCAGCATCTCTATTTCTGACTCGTATGTTTTTAGTCTTTTTATTATTTTTTTCCAGAAAATCGAGTCTGTATTGCAAGTCGATGAAATTCTTGCGCTTTTTGAGAATTTTTTTGAACTCTTTCTATTTCTTCGTTGTACGCATCCGTTACTTGGCGGAGTTCCTGACTGTAACGATCGAATTTAGAATTGGCTTCTGTGAGCTGTTTCTTCAGGTCCAAAATCTCCAGCTGATTATCTAGTTTAGTGAATTCTCTAAGCTCATTGAAAGATTCTTCCAGTTCTTTGAGTTGTCTTTTAAGTACACTTGCACGTCTTCTTTGTATGGTCTTGTTTGCTGATCAACATTATATGATTTCTAGACATGTTCAATCTGTGCAGCTTCTTCGCTTTCATATTAATGTCAATAAGAGCATTTCATCCATTTTTGAATAAATGTGGTTCATCACAAATTGTAGAAATACTCTGAGCATTGACTATAAAATGGAATGGACTTGATCCGTGAGTATTCTCCGAGCAAATCGTCTCAAGTGCGTTTTTGATCGTTGCGCCCTGATTAGAAATAGTGCCAACAACGCACAAACCAAGTCGCTGCTAGTTTGTGATCACATGAACAATAATCGTTTTCAGATCTGGGATTCTTGTATCTTTTACTAGATAATAAGCCACAACCTGCTTATAATTTTTAAGTAAGGGCATGATTTCTGATAAATCACTTTTTCAGAGTTCTAGTTGATTTTGTTACCTCAGAATTCAAGATTTATTAGCTGAAAATTGTACACTGTGAGCACTGGGATCAGCCCTAAACTTTGTCCAAACCCTGCAATAATCGTAAACACTAAACAAGGGTAGACATATTTCTAGTTTAACTGCCTGAAGATTTTCTCTATGGTTTATACGTAACTCTCCACCTATTATCTCATTTTTGTACATGTTCTGGGAGAACTCAACTTGCTCCCTATAAAATGCAACGTCTTCCTGCACAGGTGGTTCTGGTTAAGTGCCAGCCTGCTTCGGGTTTGTAATTAGTTGTTGCAATTTTCTGATTTCGTCGTCCTTTTTCATAATCCAGATTTCGTTTTGGCATTCCAGTTCAGCCATTTGATCCTGAAGCTCTTTTATAGTAGAATCATTATGGCATCGTATATCTGAGATTTTAAATGAGTGGTTGACCTCACGTTGGTTACTCTCGTCCATCAGACTCTTTACGTCATTTCTCAGTTTAGATTCAAGTTCTTTTAGGAAGCCAATTTCATCTTGCAGTTCAGCAATGTGTGACATCGTTACATCAGTTTGTGCAGCAGCACTTAAAGAATGTTGCATATCTTCGTACTCAGCGTCAAGCATAGCTTCTAAGTCTGCAACCTTCTTTTTTGACTCAATATTTTGAGCTTCAAGAGATGGTTTAGGGCTCTCTGATCTTCCTAGGTTCTTCAGTTGAGTACGCAGCATCTCTATTTCTGACTCGTATGTTTTTAGTCTTTTTATTATTTTTTTCCAGAAAATCGAGTCTGTATTGCAAGTCGATGAAATTCTTGCGCTTTTTGAGAATTTTTTTGAACTCTTTCTATTTCTTCGTTGTACGCATCCGTTACTTGGCGGAGTTCCTGACTGTAACGATCGAATTTAGAATTGGCTTCTGTGAGCTGTTTCTTCAGGTCCAAAATCTCCAGCTGATTATCTAGTTTAGTGAATTCTCTAAGCTCATTGAAAGATTCTTCCAGTTCTTTGAGTTGTCTTTTAAGTACACTTGCACGTCTTCAGCTATCACAGATTCTGCTTCGGCTAGTGCCTCCTCATATGTCTCTTCTTGAATAGGCCTCATTTCACGTCCGGATGATTCTTCTTTGGGTGGATAATTTTTCAATGGCATATACCCTAGGGATGCTTTTTTAGGTGATACGTTGCCATAGTGTCCAAAAGTATGACGTCTTAATGTTTTTTTCGGTGTTGATGCCGAGGCTCCCATTTGAAAGCGCCCGACAATAGATACTTCCGTTTTTAGTCTTTCTATCTCGAGCAGATACTCTTGTTTGCTTTTATCCATCTCTTTTAGCTTAATTGCCTGCTTTTTGAGCCGAGTTTCGAGATCGCGAGTCAAGTTCTGATATCCTTGAAGTGTCTCTTCTGTAGCTGACAAGATGTTTACTTTCGTTTTATTTTTGACAGTTTTAGTGCTTTGGGCGAATTCTGGTGTAGATCTAGTCTCCTCCTCTGCAGCTAAAGTAACATTCCCGATAATCAATGATTTGGCATTACCGCCAAGAGCCTGTGAGAGCAGTCTAGTCAATTTCGAATCGCGATAACTGATAAACTCCTTCCCCTCGCTTAGTTGCCTTATCACATTTCCTAATACTGACAAAGATTTGTTTATGTTAGCCCCCTCTTTAAGACGCTCACCAGCAGCTTTCGTCAGAGAAACTCTCTCAGAACCAGCTAAGTCCATTAAGTTAAGGTAGCTTATATGTACAGGTCCATCTTTCTGATTGGCATCTTTCGACTCCAGAATAATCCGGAAAATCGTGTGTGATCGAGATGACCTCTCATTCATGCGAGTAGCTGCAACTCGTCTGATCTTATTGCCCTGCATCATGTTCTCCATAACTTTATCAACATTGTCTACGACAGCTTCCCTTGCATCAAGCAGCACATTTCCTTTGATATCTTCTCTTATAGTTAAACCCTGATTGCTCTTATCCAGGAGGTCATTGATCTTTTCATTGTAGATTTCAATATAACTGCATCTAATCAAGTACCTCTTATCAACCTGGTCTGCCACATGCTGGAATAACTGATTGGATACTAATTGGAAAAGCCCAGGATCTGTTTTATTGCCCAAAATGGTGTGTGTTTTGCCAGAAGATGTTTGGCCATATGCAAATATTGTGGCATTGAAACCTTCCATGAAGGAATCGACTAAAGGTTTTACTACAGATCCATATACATCTGAATTTGTACATTCCTGCTTAAATACATGGTCGAATATATAAACCTCTCCATGGCGACTACTTTCATCGGCTTCCCATATGCAGTTTACTCTTACGTTCCAAAGACGCTCTAGACCATCGGCTACTTCGCGGTGGATCATTGGTCTGATCTTTGTGGCTACTTTAATATTGTCGGAAGTCATTTTGGAAGCTTGAACTGAAATTTAATTAGAACTAGGGCTATTTCACGGGTTATAAAGAGGGGCACTTTTCATAATCCAGATTTCGTTTTGGCATTCCAGTTCAGCCATTTGATCCTGAAGCTCTTTTATAGTAGAATCATTATGGCATCGTATATCTGAGATTTTAAATGAGTGGTTGACCTCACGTTGGTTACTCTCGTCCATCAGACTCTTTACGTCATTTCTCAGTTTAGATTCAAGTTCTTTTAGGAAGCCAATTTCATCTTGCAGTTCAGCAATGTGTGACATCGTTACATCAGTTTGTGTAGCAGCACTTAAAGAATCTTGCATATCTTCGTACTCAGCGTCAAGCATAGCTTCTAAGTCTGCAACCTTCTTTTTTGACTCAATATTTTGAGCTTCAAGAGATGGTTTAGGGCTCTCTGATCTTCCTAGGTTCTTCAGTTGAGTACGCAGCATCTCTATTTCTGACTCGTATGTTTTTAGTCTTTTTATTATTTTTTCCAGAAAATCGAGTCTGTATTGCAAGTCGATGAAATTCTTGCGCTTTTTGAGAATTTTTTTGAACTCTTTCTATTTCTTCGTTGTACGCATCCGTTACTTGGCGGAGTTCCTGACTGTAACGATCGATTTTAGAATTGGCTTCTGTGAGCTGTTTCTTCAGGTCCAAAATCTCCAGCTGATTATCTAGTTTAGTGAATTCTCTAAGCTCATTGAAAGATTCTTCCAGTTCTTTGCGTTGTCTTTTAAGTACACTTGCACGTCTTCTTTGTATGGTCTTGTTTGCTGATCAACATTATATGATTTCTAGACATGTTCAATCTGTGCAGCTTCTTCACTTTCATATTAATGTCAATAAGAGCATTTCATCCATTTTTGAATAAATGTGGTTCATCACAAATTGTAGAAATACTCTGAGCATTGACTATAAAATGGAATGGACTTGATCCGTGAGTATTCTCCGAGCAAATCGTCTCAAGTGCGTTTTTGATCGTTGCGCCCTGATTAGAAATAGTGCCAACAACGCACAAACCAAGTCGCTGCTAGTTTGTGATCACATGAACAATAATCGTTTTCAGATCTGGGATTCTTGTATCTTTTACTAGATAATAAGCCACAACCTGCTTATAATTTTTAAGTAAGGGCATGATTTCTGATAAATCACTTTTTCAGAGTTCTAGTTGATTTTGTTACCTCAGAATTCAAGATTTATTAGCTGAAAATTGTACACTGTGAGCACTGGGATCAGCCCTAAACTTTGTCCAAACCCTGCAATAATCGTAAACACTAAACAAGGGTAGACATATTTCTAGTTTAACTGCCTGAAGATTTTCTCTATGGTTTATACGTAACTCTCCACCTATTATCTCATTTTTGTACATGTTCTGGGAGAACTCAACTTGCTCCCTATAAAATGCAACGTCTTCCTGCACAGGTGGTTCTGGTTAAGTGCCAGCCTGCTTCGGGTTTGTAATTAGTTGTTGCAATTTTCTGATTTCGTCGTCCTTTTTCATAATCCAGATTTCGTTTTGGCATTCCAGTTCAGCCATTTGATCCTGAAGCTCTTTTATAGTAGAATCATTATGGCATCGTATATCTGAGATTTTAAATGAGTGGTTGACCTCACGTTGGTTACTCTCGTCCATCAGACTCTTTACGTCATTTCTCAGTTTAGATTCAAGTTCTTTTAGGAAGCCAATTTCATCTTGCAGTTCAGCAATGTGTGACATCGTTACATCAGTTTGTGCAGCAGCACTTAAAGAATGTTGCATATCTTCGTACTCAGCGTCAAGCATAGCTTCTAAGTCTGCAACCTTCTTTTTTGACTCAATATTTTGAGCTTCAAGAGATAGTTTAGGGCTCTCTGATCTTCCTAGGTTCTTCAGTTGAGTACGCAGCATCTCTATTTCTGACTCGTATGTTTTTAGTCTTTTTATTATGTTTTTCCAGAAAATCGAGTCTGTATTGCAAGTCGATGAAATTCTTGCGCTTTTTGAGAATTTTTTTGAACCCTTTCTATTTCTTCGTTGTACGCATCCGTTACTTGGCGGAGTTCCTGACTGTAACGATCGATTTTAGAATTGGCTTCTGTGAGCTGTTTCTTCAGGTCCAAAATCTCCAGCTGATTATCTAGTTTAGTGAATTCTCTAAGCTCATTGAAAGATTCTTCCAGTTCTTTGAGTTGTCTTTTAAGTACACTTGCAGGCACGTCTTCAGCTATCACAGATTCTGCTTCGGCTAGTGCCTCCTCATATGTCTCTTCTTGAATAGGCCTCATTTCACGTCCGGATGATTCTTCTTTGGGTGGATAATTTTTCAATGGCATATACCGTAGGGATGCTTTTTTAGGTGATACGTTGCCATAGTCTCCAAAAGTATGACGTCTTAATGTTTTTTTCGGTGTTGATGACGAGGCTCCCATTTGAAAGCGCCCGACAATAGATACTTCCGTTTTTAGTCTTTCTATCTCGAGCAGATACTCTTGTTTGCTTTTCTCCATCTCTTCTAGCTTAATTGCCTGCTTTTTGAGCCGAGTTTCGAGATCGCGAGTCAAGTTCTGATATCCTTGAAGTGCCTCTTCTGTAGCTGACAAGATGTTTACTTTCGGTTTATTTTTGACAGTTTTAGTGCTTTGGGCGAATTCTGGTGTAGATCTAGTCTCTCCTCTGCAGCTAAAGTAACATTTCCGATAATCAATGATTTGGCATTACCGCCAAGAGCCTGTGAGAGCAGTCTAGTCAATTTCGAATCGCGATAACTGATAAACTCCTTCCCCTCGCTTAGTTGCCTTATCACATTTCCTAATACTGACAAAGATTTGTTTATGTTAGCCCCCTCTTTAAGACGCTCACCAGCAGCTTTCGTCAGAGAAACTCTCTCAGAACCAGCTAAGTCCATTAAGTTAAGGTAGCTTATATGTACAGGTCCATCTTTCTGATTGGCATCTTTCGACTCCAGAATAATCCGGAAAATCGTGTGTGATCGAGATGACCTCTCATTCATGCGAGTAGCTGCAACTCGTCTGATCTTATTGCCCTGCATCATGTTCTCCATAACTTTATCAACATTGTCTACGACAGTTCCCTTGCATCAAGCAGCACATTTCCTTTGATATCTTCTCTATAGTTAAACCCTGATTGCTCTTATCCAGGAGGTCATTGATCTTTTCATTGTAGATTTCAATATAACTGCATCTAATCAAGTACCTCTTATCAACCTGGTCTGCCACATGCTGGAATAACTGATTGGATACTAATTGGAAAAGCCCAGGATCTGTTTCATTGCCCAAAATGGTGTGTGTTTTGCCAGAAGATGTTTGGCCATATGCAAATATTGTGGCATTGAAACCTTCCATGAAGGAATCGACTAAAGGTTTTACTACAGATCCATATACATCTGAATTTGTACATTCCTAGTTAAATACATGGTCGAATATATAAACCTCTCCATGGCGACTACTTTCATCGGCTTCCCATATGCAGTTTGCTCTTACGTTCCAAAGACGCTCTAGACCATCGGCTACTTCGGGGTGGATCATTGGTCTGATCTTTATGGCTACTTTAATATTGTCGGAAGTCATTTTGGAAGCTTGAACTGAAATTTAATTAGAACTAGGGCTATTTCACGGGTTATAAAGAGGGGCAGATGTATCAGGTTGATACATTCTTTTTTTCCTCCTTTCCAGTATAGAAGATTTTTTTCTCTTGTAGGCTATGAATGCGGTCCGATAGTTTAGTAGAGCTACATTTACAGGGTGACTCAAAATCAAAGAAGAAACAGAATTGTTAAATTTTATATAGACTGTTATTGTTATTACAAAAAGAAGTTGAAGCAGCAGCAAATTCTCACAAATCTATAGATCCATCACTTTCAGCACCCGATTTTTCAACTTGAAAAATGCAGCTCGGTGAAGAATCACAAGGTAACTGTTGTCTATTCAGACAATACTCTTCTAAAAGCAACGCGAAGTTACCTAGTGCCTTACATGAATCGCCTTCATAATTCTTCATTATTGTCAATGGAAAACTGAAATTGTTGATTATTACAGTTTTTAATGCTGCAAATAAGCAGATGGGGTTCGTGTTGGAAATCCCACGTCTAATCTCGCAAAACAGGTTATCCACCGGATCTTACTATCAACTTCTGAAATGCCATTACTGTTTTTAGCAATGTGTACAACAGGTTTGTACGCATAAGACACTCTTACATGAAAACTGTTTATTGTCCTAAAAACGAAAATACCCATTTGAAGATGAGTAATGCAATAAATATAATTTACGAAACTTGAACTGTAATATGAACATAAAAAACTAACAAAATGGGCCATTTACCAACATATTTGGTGTTGATATTCTACAACAACACAAACTTCTCGTATAGGAAAACGTACAATAATTCACATTTATCACTTTTCACGAACAATGTAAACTTGCGCTCTGACTTACATACGTATTACAGATTGTAGAACATTTTTTTCATTGTGTATTGTCATGCAACACCTACGTCGTTTTTTTCCTTTAACAACTGCATCAGGATCGAGAACTCTGGGCTGAGAAGTAGACGGCTCACTTTATTCGTCGTTGGTAATTTAGGATTCTTTGCATGGCTGAACGAGAGCTCCCTAGGAAGTCTTGGATCTGATAAACGTCCTCTCATACGAAGTTAAATTAGAGTTTGCCTCAGGGGAACAATAAAATTTCGTCGCCTAATAGAACTTTCAGTCCCAGACTGAAAAAAAAGGAATTTACAGAAGCTGGTTGGATACCAATAGCACAAGGCCATCTTCTCGTTCTCTAACCAGTATTGTAATTTACACACTTCCGATCTAATGCATTACCCCCGCCTTCATAGTGTTATAAAAATAATATAGAATCTTATCAGGTTCTTTGATTCCTCTACTATTTTGTTATCATGCTGCATAGATTGCTATACGAGAACATGTGTATTTGGTTTTGGAAGATACTACATCTAAGGCGTAGTGAACATAAACTTAGAAGTACCTGGCTGTGTTTCCTTCTTATTTGGAACTACATGTTGGGGATACTTGTTACTTATTTTTACGCTTCCTGCCGACATAGGTCAGTTGGTTGATGCGCAATTCTACATGTAATTCTACTGACGTGAACCAGTCATCTGCTGTGATATTTCTGTTCGTATAGACGAAAGCATTGAGCAGGTAGTGGTGAGTCTTTGCATCATCAGTCCATACTTATTCGGTTTAGTTTTCTTGTAGGCACAGGAAGGACATCGGCCCACGAGCATCTCGTATTTTGTAGGGGACTCACCCGAAATATAACAATTTCGACAGTTCTCTATGAGTGTCTCGAAAATTTCACGTATTTGGAGAAATTTATCGGCATTTCTCGAGTCACAGGGTTATTATTTTCCAAATTGGTTGCCACGGACTTTAGTTCAGGTAAATGCGTAATAATATTGTCGTCTGGATCGACCAGTTGCAGGCGCTCGTTTTGACCAATTGTACATGTTTTTTCCATAAGCATAGCGAGGTCGCCCATAGGAAGTTGTTTCAGGTTGATCGATAACAGCGTCGTCCTCGGCGTAGTCTATGGTGTATTGTTCATCCGTCAACAACGAAAAATCCATTGTGAAGGAAGTTCAAATCGTACACGCAACTGACATCCTCGGATCAAATTTGACCGCAAAGTCAACAAACCAACAACTGTGATGTTTAAATTAAACTGTGGTTTGAGGTATACGTGCTTATACCGTATGAGAAGTCACGGGACCCCCACCACATAACTGAGAAAGCTCGAATCATCCGACGATACCATTAAAGGATTAATTTCTATATTCTTGAACGAATCTATAAAATCAAAGTGGCCGGGGTTCAATTCTACATAGCTCTTTGTATGGTCTTGTTTGCTGATCAACATTATTTGATTTCTAGACATGTTCAATCTGTTGCAGCTTCTTCACTTTCATATTAATGTCAATAAGAGCATTTCATCCATTTTGAATAAATGTGGTTCATCACAAATTAGTAGAAATACTCTGAGCATTGAACTATAAAATGGAATGGACTTGATCCGTGAGAATTCTCCGAGCAAATCGTCTCAAGTGCGTTTTTGATCGTTGCGCCCTGATTAGTAATAGTGCCAACGAACGCACAAAACCAAGTCGCTGCAAGGTTTGTGATCACATGATCAATAATCGTTTTCAGATCTGGGATTCTTGTATCTTTTACTAGATAATAAGACACAACCTGCTTATAATTTTTAACGAATCCCTCTTATCATGGAAGTAGGGCATGATTTCTGATAATCACTTTTATCAGAGTTCTAGTTGATTTTGTTACCTCAGAATTCAAGATTATTAGCTGAAAATTGTACACTGTGAGCACTGGGATCAGCACCTAAACTTTGTCCAAACCCTGCAATAATCGTAAACACTAAACAAGGGTAGACATATTTCTAGTTTAACTGCCTGAAGATTTTCTCTATGGTTTATACGTAACTCTCCACCTATTATCTCATTTTTGTACATGTTCTGGGAGAACTCAACTTGCTCCCTATAAAATGCAACGTCTTCCTGCACAGGTGGTTCTGGTTAAGTGCCAGCCTGCTTCGGGTTTGTAATTAGTTGTTGCAATTTTCTGATTTCGTCGTCCTTTTTCATAATCCAGATTTCGTTTTGGCATTCCAGTTCAGCCATTTGATCCTGAAGCTCTTTTATAGTAGAATCATTATGGCATCGTATATCTGAGATTTTAAATGAGTGGTTGACCTCACGTTGGTTACTCTCGTCCATCAGACTCTTTACGTCATTTCTCAGTTTAGATTCAAGTTCTTTTAGGAAGCCAATTTCATCTTGCAGTTCAGCAATGTGTGACATCGTTACATCAGTTTGTGCAGCAGCACTTAAAGAATGTTGCATATCTTCGTACTCAGCGTCAAGCATAGCTTCTAAGTCTGCAACCTTCTTTTTTGACTCAATATTTTGAGCTTCAAGAGATGGTTTAGGGCTCTCTGATCTTCCTAGGTTCTTCAGTTGAGTACGCAGCATCTCTATTTCTGACTCGTATGTTTTTAGTCTTTTTATTATTTTTTTCCAGAAAATCGAGTCTGTATTGCAAGTCGATGAAATTCTTGCGCTTTTTGAGAATTTTTTTGAACTCTTTCTATTTCTTCGTTGTACGCATCCGTTACTTGGCGGAGTTCCTGACTGTAACGATCGAATTTAGAATTGGCTTCTGTGAGCTGTTTCTTCAGGTCCAAAATCTCCAGCTGATTATCTAGTTTAGTGAATTCTCTAAGCTCATTGAAAGATTCTTCAGTTCTTTGAGTTGTCTTTTAAGTACACTTGCACGTCTTCAGCTATCACAGATTCTGCTTCGGCTAGTGCCTCCTCATATGTCTCTTCTTGAATAGGCCTCATTTCACGTCCGGATGATTCTTCTTTGGGTGGATAATTTTTCAATGGCATATACCCTAGGGATGCTTTTTTAGGTGATACGTTGCCATAGTGTCCAAAAGTATGACGTCTTAATGTTTTTTTTCGGTGTTGATGCCGAGGCTCCCATTTGAAAGCGCCCGACAATAGATACTTCCGTTTTTAGTCTTTCTATCTCGAGCAGATACTCTTGTTTGCTTTTATCCATCTCTTTAGCTTAATTGCCTGCTTTTTGAGCCGAGTTTCGAGAATCGCGAGTCAAGTTCTGATATCCTTGAAGTGTCTCTTCTGTAGCTGACAAGATGTTTACTTTCGTTTTATTTTTGACAGTTTTAGTGCTTTGGGCGAATTCTGGTGTAGATCTAGTCTCCTCCTCTGCAGCTAAAGTAACATTCCCGATAATCAATGATTTGGCATTACCGCCAAGAGCCTGTGAGAGCAGTCTAGTCAATTTCGAATCGCGATAACTGATAAACTCCTTCCCCTCGCTTAGTTGCCTTATCACATTTCCTAATACTGACAAAGATTTGTTTATGTTAGCCCCCTCTTTAAGACGCTCACCAGCAGCTTTCGTCAGAGAAACTCTCTCAGAACCAGCTAAGTCCATTAAGTTAAGGTAGCTTATATGTACAGGTCCATCTTTCTGATTGGCATCTTTCGACTCCAGAAGTAATCCGGAAAATCGTGTGTGATCGAGATGACCTCTCATTCATGCGAGTAGCTGCAACTCGTCTGATCTTATTGCCCTGCATCATGTTCTCCATAACTTTATCAACATTGTCTACGACAGCTTCCCTTGCATCAAGCAGCACATTTCCTTTGATATCTTCTCTTATAGTTAAACCCTGATTGCTCTTATCCAGGAGGTCATTGATCTTTTCATTGTAGATTTCAATATAAACTGCATCTAATCAAGTACCTCTTATCAACCTGGTCTGCCACATGCTGGAATAACTGATTGGATACTAATTGGAAAAGCCCAGGATCTGTTTTATTGCCCAAAATGGTGTGTGTTTTGCCAGAAGATGTTTGGCCATATGCAAATATTGTGGCATTGAAACCTTCCATGAAGGAATCGACTAAAGGTTTTACTACAGATCCATATACATCTGAATTTGTACATTCCTGCTTAAATACATGGTCGAATATATAAACCTCTCCATGGCGACTACTTTCATCGGCTTCCCATATGCAGTTTACTCTTACGTTCCAAAGACGCTCTAGACCATCGGCTACTTCGCGGTGGATCATTGGTCTGATCTTTGTGGCTACTTTAATATTGTCGGAAGTCATTTTGGAAGCTTGACTGAAATTTAATTAGAACTAGGGCTATTTCACGGGTTATAAAGAGGGGCACTTTTCATAATCCAGATTTCGTTTTGGCATTCCAGTTCAGCCATTTGATCCTGAAGCTCTTTTATAGTAGAATCATTATGGCATCGTATATCTGAGATTTTAAATGAGTGGTTGACCTCACGTTGGTACTCTCGTCCATCAGACTCTTTACGTCATTTCTCAGTTTAGATTCAAGTTCTTTTTAGGAAGCCAATTCATCTTGCAGTCAGCAATGTGTGACATCGTTACATCAGTTTGTGTAGCAGCACTTAAAGAATCTTGCATATCTTCGTACTCAGCGTCAAGCATAGCTTCTAAGTCTGCAACCTTCTTTTTTGACTCATATTTTGAGCTTCAAGAGATGGTTTAGGGCTCTCTGATCTTCCTAGGTTCTTCAGTTGAGTACGCAGCATCTCTATTTCTGACTCGTATGTTTTAGTCTTTTATTATTTTTTTCCAGAAAATCGAGTCTGTATTGCAAGTCGATGAAATTCTTGCGCTTTTTGAGAATTTTTTTGAACTCTTTCTACTTTCTTCGTTGTACGCATCCGTTACTTGGCGGAGTTCCTGACTACTGTAACGATCCGATTTTTAGAATTGGCTTCTGTGAGCTGTTTCTTCAGGTCCAAAATCTCAGCTGATTATCTAGTTTAGTGAATCTCTAAGCTCATTGAAAGATTCTTCCAGTTCTTTGCGTGTCTTTTAAGTACACTTGCACGTCTCTTTGTATGGTCTTGTTTGCTGATCAACATTATCTGATTCTAGAATGTTCAATCTGTGCAGCTTCTTCACTTTCATATTAATGTCAATAAGAGCATTTTCATCCATTTTTGAATAAATGTGGTTCATCACAAATTGTAGAAATACTCTGAGCATTGACTATAAATGGAATGGACTTGATCCGTGAGTATTCTCCGAGCCAAATCGTCTCAAGTGCGTTTTTGATCGTTGCGCCCTGATTAGAAATAGTGCCAACAACGCACAAACCAAGTCGCTGCTAGTTTGTGATCACTATGAACAATAATCGTTTTCAGATCTGGGATTCTTGTATCTTTTACTAGATAATAAGCCACAACCTGCTTATAATTTTAAGTAAGGGCATGATTTCTGATAAATCACTTTTTCAGAGTTCTAGTTGATTTTTGTTACCTCAGAATTCAAGATTTATTAGCTGAAATTGTACACTGTGAGCACTGGGATCAGCCCTAAACTTTGTTCCAAACCCTGCAATAATCGTAACACTAAACAAGGGTAGACATATTTCTAGTTTAACTGCCTGAAGATTTTCTCTATGGTTTATACGTAACTCTCCACCTATTATCTCATTTTTGTACATGTTCTGGGAGAACTCAACTTGCTCCCTATAAAATGCAACGTCTTCCTGCACAGGTGGTTCTGGTTAAGTGCCAGCCTGCTTCGGGTTTGTAATTAGTTGTTGCAATTTTCTGATTTCGTCGTCCTTTTTCATAATCCAGATTTCGTTTTGGCATTCCAGTTCAGCCATTTGATCCTGAAGCTCTTTTATAGTAGAATCATTATGGCATCGTATATCTGAGATTTTAAATGAGTGGTTGACCTCACGTTGGTTACTCTCGTCCATCAGACTCTTTACGTCATTTCTCAGTTTAGATTCAAGTTCTTTTAGGAAGCCAATTTCATCTTGCAGTTCAGCAATGTGTGACATCGTTACATCAGTTTGTGCAGCAGCACTTAAAGAATGTTGCATATCTTCGTACTCAGCGTCAAGCATAGCTTCTAAGTCTGCAACCTTCTTTTTTGACTCAATATTTTGAGCTTCAAGAGATGGTTTAGGGCTCTCTGATCTTCCTAGGTTCTTCAGTTGAGTACGCAGCATCTCTATTTCTGACTCGTATGTTTTTAGTCTTTTTATTATTTTTTTCCAGAAAATCGAGTCTGTATTGCAAGTCGATGAAATTCTTGCGCTTTTTGAGAATTTTTTTGAACTCTTTCTATTTCTTCGTTGTACGCATCCGTTACTTGGCGGAGTTCCTGACTGTAACGATCGATTTAGAATTGGCTTCTGTGAGCTGTTTCTTCAGGTCCAAAATCTCCAGCTGATTATCTAGTTTAGTGAATTCTCTAAGCTCATTGAAAGATTCTTCCGTTCTTTGCGTTGTCCTTTTAAGTACACTTGCACGTCTTCAGCTATCAAGATTCTGCTTCGGCTAGTGCCTCTCATATGTCTCTTCTTGATAGGCTCATTTCACGTCCGGATGATTCTTCTTTGGGTGGATAATTTTTCAATGGCATATACCCTAGGGATGCTTTTTTAGGTGATACGTTTGCCATAGTGTCCAAAGTATGACGTCTTAATGTTTTTTTCGGTGTTGATGCCGAGGCTCCCATTTGAAAGCGCCCGACAATAGATACTTCCGTTTTTAGTCTTTCTATCTCGAGCAGATACTCTTGTTTGCTTTTATCCATCTCTTTAGCTTAATTGCCTGCTTTTTGAGCCGAGTTTCGAGATCGCGAGTCAAGTTCTGATATCCTTGAAGTGTCTCTTCTGTAGCTGACAAGATGTTTACTTTCGTTTTATTTTTGACAGTTTTAGTGCTTTGGGCGAATTCTGGTGTAGATCTAGTCTCCTCCTCTGCAGCTAAAGTAACATTCCCGATAATCAATGATTTGGCATTACCGCCAAGAGCCTGTGAGAGCAGTCTAGTCAATTTCGAATCGCGATAACTGATAAACTCCTCCCCTCGCTTAGTTGCCTTATCACATTCCTAATACTGACAAAGATTTGTTTATGTTAGCCCCTCTTTAGACGCTCACCAGCAGCTTTCGTCAGAGAAACTCTCTCAGAACCAGCTAAGTCCATTAAGTTAAGGTAGCTTATATGTACAGGTCCATCTTTCTGATTGGCATCTTTCGACTCCAGAATAATCCGGAAAATAGTGTGTGATCGAGATGACCTCTCATTCATGCGAGTAGCTGCAACTCGTCTGATCTTATTGCCCTGCATCATGTTCTCCATAACTTTATCAACATTGTCTACGACAGCTTCCCTTGCATCAAGCAGCACATTTCCTTTGATATCTTCTCATAGTTAAACCCTGATTGCTCTTATCCAGGAGGTCATTGATCTTTTCATTGTAGATTTCAATATAACTGCATCTAATCAAGTACCTCTTATCAACCTGGTCTGCCACATGCTGGAATAACTGATTGGATACTAATTGGAAAAGCCCAGGATCTGTTTTATTGCCCAAAATGGTGTGTGTTTTGCCAGAAGATGTTTGGCCATATGCAAATATTGTGGCATTGAAACCTTCCATGAAGGAATCGACTAAAGGTTTTACTACAGATCCATATACATCTGAATTTGTACATTCCTGATTAAATACATGGTCGAATATATAAACCTCTCCATGGCGACTACTTTCATCGGCTTCCCATATGCAGTTTACTCTTACGTTCCAAAGACGCTCTAGACCATCGGCTACTTCGCGGTGGATCATTGGTCTGATCTTTGTGGCTACTTTAATATTGTTGGAAGTCATTTTGGAAGCTTGAACTGAAATTTAATTAGAACTAGGGCTATTTCACGGGTTATAAAGAGGGGCAGATGTATCAGGTTGATACATTCTTTTTTTCCTCCTTTCCAGTATAGAAGATTTTTTTCTCTTGTAGGCTATGAATGCGGTCCGATAGTTTAGTAGAGCTACATTTACAGGGTGACTCAAAATCAAAGAAGAAACAGAATTGTTAAATTTCATATAGACTGTTATTGTTATTACAAAAAGAAGTTGAAGCAGCAGCAAATTCTCACAAATCTATAGATCCATCACTTTCAGCACCCGATTTTTCAACTTGAAAAATGCAGCTCGGTGAAGAATCACAAGGTAACTGTTGTCTATTCAGACAATACTCTTCTAAAAGCAACGCGAAGTTACCTAGTGCCTTACATGAATCGCCTTCATAATTCTTCATTATTGTCAATGGAAAACTGAAATTGTTGATTATTACAGTTTTTAATGCTTCAAATAAACAGATGGTGTTCGTGTTGGAAATCCCACGTCTAATCTCGCAAAACAGGTTATCCACCGGATCTTACTATCAACATCTGAAATGCCATTACTGTTTTTAGCCATGTGTACAACAGGTTTGTACGCATAAGACACTCTTACATGAAAACTGTTTATTGTCTAAAAACGAAAATACCCCATTGAAGATGAGTAATGCAATAAATATAATCCTCGAAACTTGAACTGTAATATGAACATAAAAAAACTAACAAAATGGGCCATTTAACAACATATTTGGTGTTGATATTCTACAACAAAAACAAATACTTTCTCGTATAAGGAAACATACAATAATTAACATTTATCACTTTTCACGAAACAATGTAAGTGCGCTGTGACTTTACATACTTATTACAGATTGTAGAACATTTTTTTCATTGTGTATTGTCATGTAACACCTACGTCGTTTTTTTTCTTTAACAACTGCATCAGGATCGAGAACTCTGGGCTGAGAAGTAGACGGCTTACTTTATTCGTCGTTGGTAATTTAGGATTCTTTGCATGGCTGAACGAAGCTCCCTAGGAAGTCTTGGATCTGATAAACGTCCTCTCATACGAAGTTAAATTAGAGTTTGCCTCAGGGGAACAATAAAATTTCGTCGCCTAATGGAACTTTCAGTCCCAGACTGAAAAAAAAGGAATTTACAGAAGCTGGTTGGATACCAAATAGCACAAGGCCATCTTCTCGTTCTCTAACCAGTATTGTAATTTACACACTTCCGATCTAATGCATTACCCCCCGCCTTCATAGTGTTATAAAAATAATATAGGATCTTATCAGGTTTCTTTGATTCCTCTACTATTTTGTTATCATGCTGCATAGATTGCTATACGAGAACATGTGTATTTGGTTTTGGAAGATACTACTCTAAGGCTGTACAACATAAACTTAGAAGTACCTGGCTGTGTTTCCTTCTTATTTGGAACTACATGTTGGGGTACTTGTTACTTATTTTTACGCTTCCTGCCGACATAGGTCAGTTGGTTGATGCGCAATTCTACATGTAATTCTACTGACGTGAACCAGTCATCTGCTGTGATATTTCTGTTCGTATAGACGAAAGCATTGAGCAGGTAGTGGTGAGTCTTTGCATCATCAGTCCATACTTATTCGGTTTAGTTTTCTTGTAGGCACAGGAAGGACATCGGCCCACGAGCATCTCGTATTTTGTAGGGGACTCACCCGAAATATAACAATTTCGACAGTTCTCTATGAGTGTCTCGAAAATTTCACGTATTTGGAGAAATTTATCGGCATTTCTCGAGTCACAGGGTTATTATTTTCCAAATTGGTTGCCACGGACTTTAGTTCAGGTAAATGCGTAATAATCGACCAGTTGCAGGCGCTCGTTTTGACCAATTGTACATGTTTTTTCCATAGGCATAGCGAGGTCGCCCATAGGAAGTTGTTCAGGTTGATCGATAGCAGCGTCGTCCTCGGCGTAGTCTATAGTGTATTGTTCATCCGTCAACAACGAAAAAATCCATTGTGAAGGAAGTTCAAATCGTACACGCAACTGACATCCTCGGATCAAATTTGACCGCAAAGTCAACAAACCAACAATTGTGATGTTTAATTAAACTGTGGTTTGAGGTATACGTGCTCATACCGTATGAGAAGTCACGGGACCCCCACCACATAACTGAGAAAGCTCGAATCATCCGACGATATAATTAAAGGATAATTTCTATATTCTTGAACGAATCTATAAAATCAAAGTGGCTGGGTTTCAATTTACATAGCTCTTTGTATGGTCTTGTTTGCTGATCAAATTATATGATTTCTAGACATGTTCAATCTGTGCAGCTTCTTCACTTTCATATTAATGTCAATAAGAGCATTTCATCCATTTTTGAATAAATGTGGTTCATCACAAATTGTAGAAATACTCTGAGCATTGACTATAAAATGGAATGGACTTGATCCGTGAGTATTCTCCGAGCAAATCGTCTCAAGTGCGTTTTTGATCGTTGCGCCCTGATTAGAATAGTGCCAACAACGCACAAACCAAGTCGCTGCTAGTTTGTGATCACATGAACAATAATCGTTTTCAGATCTGGGATTCTTGTATCTTTTACTAGATAATAAGCCACAACCTGCTTATAATTTTTACGAATCCCTCTTATCATGGAAGTAAAGGGCATGATTTCTGATAAATCACTTTTCAGAGTTCTAGTTGATTTTGTTACCTCAGAATTCAAGATTTATTAGCTGAAAATTGTACACTGTGAGCACTGGGATCAGCCCTAAACTTTGTCCAAACCCTGCAATAATCGTAAACACTAAACAAGGGTAGACATATTTCTAGTTTAACTGCCTGAAGATTTTCTCTATGGTTTATACGTAACTCTCCACCTATTATCTCATTTTTGTACATGTTCTGGGAGAACTCAACTTGCTCCCTATAAAATGCAACGTCTTCCTGCACAGGTGGTTCTGGTTAAGTGCCAGCCTGCTTCGGGTTTGTAATTAGTTGTTGCAATTTTCTGATTTCGTCGTCCTTTTTCATAATCCAGATTTCGTTTTGGCATTCCAGTTCAGCCATTTGATCCTGAAGCTCTTTTATAGTAGAATCATTATGGCATCGTATATCTGAGATTTTAAATGAGTGGTTGACCTCACGTTGGTTACTCTCGTCCATCAGACTCTTTACGTCATTTCTCAGTTTAGATTCAAGTTCTTTTAGGAAGCCAATTTCATCTTGCAGTTCAGCAATGTGTGACATCGTTACATCAGTTTGTGCAGCAGCACTTAAAGAATGTTGCATATCTTCGTACTCAGCGTCAAGCATAGCTTCTAAGTCTGCAACCTTCTTTTTTGACTCAATATTTTGAGCTTCAAGAGATGGTTTAGGGCTCTCTGATCTTCCTAGGTTCTTCAGTTGAGTACGCAGCATCTCTATTTCTGACTCGTATGTTTTTAGTCTTTTTATTATTTTTTTCCAGAAAATCGAGTCTGTATTGCAAGTCGATGAAATTCTTGCGCTTTTTGAGAATTTTTTTGAACTCTTTCTATTTCTTCGTTGTACGCATCCGTTACTTGGCGGAGTTCCTGACTGTAACGATCGAATTTAGAATTGGCTTCTGTGAGCTGTTTCTTCAGGTCCAAAATCTCCAGCTGATTATCTAGTTTAGTGAATTCTCTAAGCTCATTGAAAGATTCTTCCAGTTCTTTGAGTTGTCTTTTAAGTACACTTGCACGTCTTCAGCTATCACAGATTCTGCTTCGGCTAGTGCCTCCTCATATGTCTCTTCTTGAATAGGCCTCATTTCACGTCCGGATGATTCTTCTTTGGGTGGATAATTTTTCAATGGCATATACCCTAGGGATGCTTTTTTAGGTGATACGTTGCCATAGTGTCCAAAAGTATGACGTCTTAATGTTTTTTTCGGTGTTGATGCCGAGGCTCCCATTTGAAAGCGCCCGACAATAGATACTTCCGTTTTTAGTCTTTCTATCTCGAGCAGATACTCTTGTTTGCTTTTATCCATCTCTTTTAGCTTAATTGCCTGCTTTTTGAGCCGAGTTTCGAGATCGCGAGTCAAGTTCTGATATCCTTGAAGTGTCTCTTCTGTAGCTGACAAGATGTTTACTTTCGTTTTATTTTTGACAGTTTTAGTGCTTTGGGCGAATTCTGGTGTAGATCTAGTCTCCTCCTCTGCAGCTAAAGTAACATTCCCGATAATCAATGATTTGGCATTACCGCCAAGAGCCTGTGAGAGCAGTCTAGTCAATTTCGAATCGCGATAACTGATAAACTCCTTCCCCTCGCTTAGTTGCCTTATCACATTTCCTAATACTGACAAAGATTTGTTTATGTTAGCCCCCTCTTTAAGACGCTCACCAGCAGCTTTCGTCAGAGAAACTCTCTCAGAACCAGCTAAGTCCATTAAGTTAAGGTAGCTTATATGTACAGGTCCATCTTTCTGATTGGCATCTTTCGACTCCAGAATAATCCGGAAAATCGTGTGTGATCGAGATGACCTCTCATTCATGCGAGTAGCTGCAACTCGTCTGATCTTATTGCCCTGCATCATGTTCTCCATAACTTTATCAACATTGTCTACGACAGCTTCCCTGCATCAAGCAGCACATTTCCTTTGATATCTTCTCTTATAGTTAAACCCTGATTGCTCTTATCCAGGAGTCATTGATCTTTTCATTGTAGATTTCAATATACTGCATCTAATCAAAGTACCTCTTATCAACCTGGTCTGCCACATGCTGGAATAACTGATTGGATACTAATTGGAAAAGCCCAGGATCTGTTTTATTGCCCAAAATGGTGTGGTGTTTGCCAGAAGATGTTTGGCCATAGCAAATATTGTGGCATTGAAACCTTCATGAAGGATCGACTAAAGGTTTTACTACAGATCCATATACATCTGAATTGTACATTCCTGCTTAAATACATGGTCGTATATATAAACCTCTCCATGGCGACTACTTTCATCGGCTTCCCATATGCAGTTTACTCTTACGTCCAAGACGCTCTAGACCATCGGCTACTTCGCGGTGGATCATTGGTCTGATCTTTGTGGCTACTTTAATATTGTCGGAAGTCATTTTGGAAGCTTGAACTGAAATTTAATTAGAACTAGGGCTATTTCACGGGTTATAAAGAGGGGCACTTTTCATAATCCAGATTTCGTTTTGGCATTCCAGTTCAGCCATTTGATCCTGAAGCTCTTTTATAGTAGAATCATTATGGCATCGTATATCTGAGATTTTAAATGAGTGGTTGACCTCACGTTGGTTACTCTCGTCCATCAGACTCTTTACGTCATTTCTCAGTTTAGATTCAAGTTCTTTTAGGAAGCCAATTTCATCTTGCAGTTCAGCAATGTGTGACATCGTTACATCAGTTTGTGTAGCAGCACTTAAAGAATCTTGCATATCTTCGTACTCAGCGTCAAGCATAGCTTCTAAGTCTGCAACCTTCTTTTTTGACTCAATATTTTGAGCTTCAAGAGATGGTTTAGGGCTCTCTGATCTTCCTAGGTTCTTCAGTTGAGTACGCAGCATCTCTATTTCTGACTCGTATGTTTTTAGTCTTTTTATTATTTTTTTCCAGAAAATCGAGTCTGTATTGCAAGTCGATGAAATTCTTGCGCTTTTTGAGAATTTTTTTGAACTCTTTCTATTTCTTCGTTGTACGCATCCGTTACTTGGCGGAGTTCCTGACTGTAACGATCGATTTTAGAATTGGCTTCTGTGAGCTGTTTCTTCAGGTCCAAAATCTCCAGCTGATTATCTAGTTTAGTGAATTCTCTAAGCTCATTGAAAGATTCTTCCAGTTCTTTGCGTTGTCTTTTAAGTACACTTGCACGTCTTCAGCTATCACAGATTCTGCTTCGGCTAGTGCCTCCTCATATGTCTCTTCTTGAATAGGCCTCATTTCACGTCCGGATGATTCTTCTTTGGGTGGATAATTTTTCAATGGCATATACCCTAGGGATGCTTTTTTAGGTGATACGTTGCCATAGTGTCCAAAAGTATGACGTCTTAATGTTTTTTTCGGTGTTGATGCCGAGGCTCCCATTTGAAAGCGCCCGACAATAGATACTTCCGTTTTTAGTCTTTCTATCTCGAGCAGATACTCTTGTTTGCTTTTATCCATCTCTTTTAGCTTAATTGCCTGCTTTTTGAGCCGAGTTTCGAGATCGCGAGTCAAGTTCTGATATCCTTGAAGTGTCTCTTCTGTAGCTGACAAGATGTTTACTTTCGTTTTATTTTTGACAGTTTTAGTGCTTTGGGCGAATTCTGGTGTAGATCTAGTCTCCTCCTCTGCAGCTAAAGTAACATTCCCGATAATCAATGATTTGGCATTACCGCCAAGAGCCTGTGAGAGCAGTCTAGTCAATTTCGAATCGCGATAACTGATAAACTCCTTCCCCTCGCTTAGTTGCCTTATCACATTTCCTAATACTGACAAAGATTTGTTTATGTTAGCCCCCTCTTTAAGACGCTCACCAGCAGCTTTCGTCAGAGAAACTCTCTCAGAACCAGCTAAGTCCATTAAGTTAAGGTAGCTTATATGTACAGGTCCATCTTTCTGATTGGCATCTTTCGACTCCAGAATAATCCGGAAAATCGTGTGTGATCGAGATGACCTCTCATTCATGCGAGTAGCTGCAACTCGTCTGATCTTATTGCCCTGCATCATGTTCTCCATAACTTTATCAACATTGTCTACGACAGCTTCCCTTGCATCAAGCAGCACATTTCCTTTGATATCTTCTCTTATAGTTAAACCCTGATTGCTCTTATCCAGGAGGTCATTGATCTTTTCATTGTAGATTTCAATATAACTGCATCTAATCAAGTACCTCTTATCAACCTGGTCTGCCACATGCTGGAATAACTGATTGGATACTAATTGGAAAAGCCCAGGATCTGTTTTATTGCCCAAAATGGTGTGTGTTTTGCCAGAAGATGTTTGGCCATATGCAAATATTGTGGCATTGAAACCTTCCATGAAGGAATCGACTAAAGGTTTTACTACAGATCCATATACATCTGAATTTGTACATTCCTGCTTAAATACATGGTCGAATATATAAACCTCTCCATGGCGACTACTTTCATCGGCTTCCCATATGCAGTTTACTCTTACGTTCCAAAGACGCTCTAGACCATCGGCTACTTCGCGGTGGATCATTGGTCTGATCTTTGTGGCTACTTTAATATTGTCGGAAGTCATTTTGGAAGCTTGAACTGAAATTTAATTAGAACTAGGGCTATTTCACGGGTTATAAAGAGGGGCACTTTTCATAATCCAGATTTCGTTTTGGCATTCCAGTTCAGCCATTTGATCCTGAAGCTCTTTTATAGTAGAATCATTATGGCATCGTATATCTGAGATTTTAAATGAGTGGTTGACCTCACGTTGGTTACTCTCGTCCATCAGACTCTTTACGTCATTTCTCAGTTTAGATTCAAGTTCTTTTAGGAAGCCAATTTCATCTTGCAGTTCAGCAATGTGTGACATCGTTACATCAGTTTGTGTAGCAGCACTTAAAGAATCTTGCATATCTTCGTACTCAGCGTCAAGCATAGCTTCTAAGTCTGCAACCTTCTTTTTTGACTCAATATTTTGAGCTTCAAGAGATGGTTTAGGGCTCTCTGATCTTCCTAGGTTCTTCAGTTGAGTACGCAGCATCTCTATTTCTGACTCGTATGTTTTTAGTCTTTTTATTATTTTTTTCCAGAAAATCGAGTCTGTATTGCAAGTCGATGAAATTCTTGCGCTTTTTGAGAATTTTTTTGAACTCTTTCTATTTCTTCGTTGTACGCATCCGTTACTTGGCGGAGTTCCTGACTGTAACGATCGATTTTAGAATTGGCTTCTGTGAGCTGTTTCTTCAGGTCCAAAATCTCCAGCTGATTATCTAGTTTAGTGAATTCTCTAAGCTCATTGAAAGATTCTTCCAGTTCTTTGCGTTGTCTTTTAAGTACACTTGCACGTCTTCAGCTATCACAGATTCTGCTTCGGCTAGTGCCTCCTCATATGTCTCTTCTTGAATAGGCCTCATTTCACGTCCGGATGATTCTTCTTTGGGTGGATAATTTTTCAATGGCATATACCCTAGGGATGCTTTTTTAGGTGATACGTTGCCATAGTGTCCAAAAGTATGACGTCTTAATGTTTTTTTCGGTGTTGATGCCGAGGCTCCCATTTGAAAGCGCCCGACAATAGATACTTCCGTTTTTAGTCTTTCTATCTCGAGCAGATACTCTTGTTTGCTTTTATCCATCTCTTTTAGCTTAATTGCCTGCTTTTTGAGCCGAGTTTCGAGATCGCGAGTCAAGTTCTGATATCCTTGAAGTGTCTCTTCTGTAGCTGACAAGATGTTTACTTTCGTTTTATTTTTGACAGTTTTAGTGCTTTGGGCGAATTCTGGTGTAGATCTAGTCTCCTCCTCTGCAGCTAAAGTAACATTCCCGATAATCAATGATTTGGCATTACCGCCAAGAGCCTGTGAGAGCAGTCTAGTCAATTTCGAATCGCGATAACTGATAAACTCCTTCCCCTCGCTTAGTTGCCTTATCACATTTCCTAATACTGACAAAGATTTGTTTATGTTAGCCCCCTCTTTAAGACGCTCACCAGCAGCTTTCGTCAGAGAAACTCTCTCAGAACCAGCTAAGTCCATTAAGTTAAGGTAGCTTATATGTACAGGTCCATCTTTCTGATTGGCATCTTTCGACTCCAGAATAATCCGGAAAATCGTGTGTGATCGAGATGACCTCTCATTCATGCGAGTAGCTGCAACTCGTCTGATCTTATTGCCCTGCATCATGTTCTCCATAACTTTATCAACATTGTCTACGACAGCTTCCCTTGCATCAAGCAGCACATTTCCTTTGATATCTTCTCATAGTTAAACCCTGATTGCTCTTATCCAGGAGGTCATTGATCTTTTCATTGTAGATTTCAATATAACTGCATCTAATCAAGTACCTCTTATCAACCTGGTCTGCCACATGCTGGAATAACTGATTGGATACTAATTGGAAAAGCCCAGGATCTGTTTTATTGCCCAAAATGGTGTGTGTTTTGCCAGAAGATGTTTGGCCATATGCAAATATTGTGGCATTGAAACCTTCCATGAAGGAATCGACTAAAGGTTTTACTACAGATCCATATACATCTGAATTTGTACATTCCTGATTAAATACATGGTCGAATATATAAACCTCTCCATGGCGACTACTTTCATCGGCTTCCCATATGCAGTTTACTCTTACGTTCCAAAGACGCTCTAGACCATCGGCTACTTCGCGGTGGATCATTGGTCTGATCTTTGTGGCTACTTTAATATTGTTGGAAGTCATTTTGGAAGCTTGAACTGAAATTTAATTAGAACTAGGGCTATTTCACGGGTTATAAAGAGGGGCAGATGTATCAGGTTGATACATTCTTTTTTTCCTCCTTTCCAGTATAGAAGATTTTTTTCTCTTGTAGGCTATGAATGCGGTCCGATAGTTTAGTAGAGCTACATTTACAGGGTGACTCAAAATCAAAGAAGAAACAGAATTGTTAAATTTCATATAGACTGTTATTGTTATTACAAAAAGAAGTTGAAGCAGCAGCAAATTCTCACAAATCTATAGATCCATCACTTTCAGCACCCGATTTTTCAACTTGAAAAATGCAGCTCGGTGAAGAATCACAAGGTAACTGTTGTCTATTCAGACAATACTCTTCTAAAAGCAACGCGAAGTTACCTAGTGCCTTACATGAATCGCCTTCATAATTCTTCATTATTGTCAATGGAAAACTGAAATTGTTGATTATTACAGTTTTTAATGCTTCAAATAAACAGATGGTGTTCGTGTTGGAAATCCCACGTCTAATCTCGCAAAACAGGTTATCCACCGGATCTTACTATCAACATCTGAAATGCCATTACTGTTTTTAGCCATGTGTACAACAGGTTTGTACGCATAAGACACTCTTACATGAAAACTGTTTATTGTCTAAAAACGAAAATACCCCATTGAAGATGAGTAATGCAATAAATATAATCCTCGAAACTTGAACTGTAATATGAACATAAAAAAACTAACAAAATGGGCCATTTAACAACATATTTGGTGTTGATATTCTACAACAAAAACAAATACTTTCTCGTATAAGGAAACATACAATAATTAACATTTATCACTTTTCACGAAACAATGTAAGTGCGCTGTGACTTTACATACTTATTACAGATTGTAGAACATTTTTTTCATTGTGTATTGTCATGTAACACCTACGTCGTTTTTTTTCTTTAACAACTGCATCAGGATCGAGAACTCTGGGCTGAGAAGTAGACGGCTTACTTTATTCGTCGTTGGTAATTTAGGATTCTTTGCATGGCTGAACGAAGCTCCCTAGGAAGTCTTGGATCTGATAAACGTCCTCTCATACGAAGTTAAATTAGAGTTTGCCTCAGGGGAACAATAAAATTTCGTCGCCTAATGGAACTTTCAGTCCCAGACTGAAAAAAAAGGAATTTACAGAAGCTGGTTGGATACCAAATAGCACAAGGCCATCTTCTCGTTCTCTAACCAGTATTGTAATTTACACACTTCCGATCTAATGCATTACCCCCCGCCTTCATAGTGTTATAAAAATAATATAGGATCTTATCAGGTTTCTTTGATTCCT